CTGTTAAGCCTTTGAGGGCCTTTCTGTGTGTAATGATTTAGGTTAGAGAGACATGTTGCTTACATTTATTTATTTACATATTATAACCTATATTCCTGTATTGTATTTGTATGTTTCTATAGAGGTAAGATGAAGCATTCAGAATTGTGTTCCTTAATCAAATTATATTGTGCTATTCTTTCTCTCATAGAAAACCACAGTAAGACCCAATACTCTGATGTATTGCATGGCCACTGAGATACCAACAGCCACTCAACCAAATCTGAGATCCTTTAATTCATATTCTGGAAGATTTGGCCTGAAGTGGTGTTCTCACCGACAAACCTGAGTGAATCTAGTCAGAGCAACAACCTAGTGCCCACATTGAGTTTAGTTTTATTATCTTCATTACACTGGGAGTTCTATTTGATCAAGATATGTCCTTTAACTCTCACATAAAACACATTTCAAGGACAGCCTATTTTCACCTTCGTTATAGATCTAAAATCAGGCAAATCCCGTTGCAAATCGATGAAGAATAAATATTTTATACATTTGTTACTCCCAGGTTTGATTATCCTAGTTCTATTTTATCAGGCTGACTTGGTAATTCTCTAAAGGCTCTTGAACTAGTCCAAAATGCTGCAGCTTGTGTACTGAATAAAACTAGGAATAGGGATCACATTACTGCAGTAATGGCTTCCCTGCATTGGCTCTCTACAAAATCTAGAATAACAATTTAAATCCTTCTTATCAATTGCAAAGCTCATAATGGCCAGGCATCATTTTATCTTAAAGAGCTAAACGTGTCGTATTACCCTTCAAGAACATTATGCACCCAGAGTGCAGTCCTGCTCGTGGTACCTAGAGTCTCTAAATAAATTATGTGAGGTAGTGCCTTCGATTATCAGTCCCCTCTCCTTTGGAATCATCTACCTGTCATGGTCCGTTAGGCAGACACATTCTTTACTTTTAGGAATAGGAACTGTAACTGAAGGGGACTTCATTCAGCTGCGAGTGTGACTTCTAACAGAGTGCACTCCGTCTAGGAGGGGGAGGGTGTAGGGCAGGGATGGGCAACTTCAATGATAGGGAGGGCCACAAAAATGTTATCCTCATACCAGAGGGCCAAATGTCAGCGTGCACTTCCACCAGTAGGATACTATAATCCCATATCTTAATGGCAATCAGAGTTTATTATGCCAAATTTCTATTTTTCAAGATTTTTTCCAGATTAATTGTCTCAGGAAAACACAAGGCTCGCTTTCAAGCTAACATTTCTTTTTACAACATTTCTATTCATCCATATTTAAATGCATTTAATAATGCTTCTACTCCTTTAACATCTCCATTTTTTTATATTTAAGGCATTTAGTGATGCTTCTACTCATTTAATGAGCTTAACACAAAGAAAATGAACATCCACATTCCTGAGTCAGATATTATTTCAGTGCAATGGGGTCTCAAACATCATCTTTCAATAACGTAACAAAAGTTGACATCAACAGTAAGTGCATCAACTTATATTCATATATATTTTTAATGCATTTCTACTCTGCCCTCATCCATGACATATTTCAAATAAGCATGCATTTTTCTCCAAATCCACTGATCCTCACCCACAGCTTGGTCAGTATGCTATGAAGTTCTGTCTTAATGAGATACTTGTGGCCTCTGAATGTCAATGTCAATGTTAGTACATCCAATCTGCATGAGGTGGAACAGTGTCTCATCTGTCAGTCTGTTTCTCTCTTTAGATTTGATGTGCTTCATTGTTGAGAAGTTGCTCTCACAGATGTAAGTGCTCCCAAATATGCCGGCCATTGAGAGTGCAAAATCCCTGAGGAGTGGAAAGCGTGACTCGGGTAGTAGTCTCCAGAAGGAGATTCCCCTCTCTTGGCGCTTTGCTTGGAAGAAGGGGTCTGACTGTAGTTCACACAGTTGAAGCTGCAGCTCAGGGGGCTGCGCACTGACAGCAGCAGAGAGCGGGTCAGTGAATAACACCATGCGTGGCTTCATGGTGTAGAAATCTTGAAAGCGGTTCTTAAACTGCTGCTGCAGTTTTTCTATCTGTACTTGAGAAGTGTTTTCTCGCATTCGGGGGCATCTTTGCGCATCTGTTCACATGAGGGGAAGTGTGCCAAATTTGGACGGTCAGATGAAAAGTCTTCCTTAAACAGGGTTAGTTTACTCTGAAATGCGTTCACGTGTGCATATAGATCCGACACAGTCTGGCTTCTTCCCTGTAACTGCATATTCAGGTGATTAAGATGTGAGGTAATGTCTGCAAGGAAAGCCATGTCGAAGAGAAACTCTGTATCCCTGAGTTTACTGCAGTAAGCACTTGTATTGCATCGGATGCTGTCCTCCAAGAACACTGGGATTTCAGCGCGCAGCACAAAAAACCTCTCCAAGCGTTTCCCACGGCTCATCCACCTTACCTCTGTGTGCATCTGTAAATCCCCATACACAGCGCTCACTTCATCCAAAAAGGCTACAAACGTCTTATGATTGAGAGACCTGTTCCCTCCTCGAATGAGATTGGTAACCTTGGTAACTAAATCCATGACATGGCTGAAGTTCATTGACTTGGCACAGAGGGCCTCCTGTAATATCAAAATAAAAGGATTTAGCTACATTTTAACCTGTGATAAAAATTCTCACAAAGAATACCCACATTCTATTAATAGCTAGCAACAACGTTACCCACCTGATGTATGATGCAGTGCAGTATTGGACAGTCAACGCCACTCTGTTGGAGGAGCCCGGCGAATCCAGTGTGTTTTCATTGCATTGACGGCGCACCATCGATAACAACAGCTGATAGCTTGTCCAGTTTCAATAACTCCTCGTGCACTTCAAATGAACTGTCAATGGCTCGTGCATAAATAAGAAGCTGGCTAACATCCGTCACATCCATACTCTCATCCAACGCTAAGGAAAAGTACTTGCAGTCATCAATGACTTCTTTAAGCTTCACCTCAACATGATTTTGAATGACGAAAATTCTTCTGGTCACTGTGCGTCGGGATAGAGAGATCGTTTCAAAATTCTTAGCCATGTTATCGTCTCCAAAAGCTTTAGCCATCTCTACTGCACACCGCTTCACTATTTTCGCCATCTGACCATCCTCTATCGGTGGGCAGCATGAATTACAGCTGGGGTCTTGTTCAAATGAGTTGCTGGTTTCCAACGACAGTGACACCAATAATTTTTGTAAATTGACTTGCAGGCCACACAGAATGAGGATGGGGCAGCATGCGGCCCGCAGGCTGCCAGTTGCCCATCCCTGGTGTAGGGTTTGGTTTGAAAAAGGGCCTGTGTCTGTCTCTGTCCGAGGTGCTGAACTGACAGAAACAGAGCGGGTTGTTTATGTTTCTGTCCGAGGTGCTGAACCTGAGCAGAACTTTTGTCTTAAATTTTCACCAACAAGAACAAACACAGATATGCTGTTTGTCTGCCTGGTGGAGATTACAAGTGTTTTCTTTCTTGATATTACATAAAGATGGCGCCGTGGATGGATGCCTCGGTGTGTTGGTGCGCGTTGTTTTAATCTTTATTCCGATTGAAAGCGATTCTGGATTCATGATAATGAATAATGGGAGCAAATATAAAAGCCTAAGTAATCATGACCAATAACAACAGTCCTTACATACTCTAGAAGAATTGAAAAGGATTTAAAATGATTAAATTCAACATCAGAAATGTGTTATGACTCGGCAAGAGAGTACGGACCCAAAAGGAAAACTCCGGCCACAGAGGCACAATCCAAACAGTCTTTAACGAGGGACAACAAAATAACACAATGCCAAAAGAGCATTGGTAGCGAGAAAAACAAAATCCACAAAGGTAGAGACTTCCACGAGTAGGCGGGCAGGCACGAGCACAAAACACCAGGCACTGAGGCAGAGAGACACAGAGACACAGAGGTAGAAGTTAGCAACACACTAGCAGTTCACACAGAACGATACTTAGAGATGTCGGCCAAAAACGAGGTAAATACCACAGAGAGATATTGTATACTCAGACGACGAGTGGTGAAAGGACCGGAGTAGATAAACTGCTGGAGATGAGGATGATTGATTGCACCTGGGCTGCCTGGGGAGAAAACCACGCCCACCAGCACTCACACACACCTGACACACAGGGGAGGAGAAACAGAGGGTTGAGACAAACAGAGGAAAGCTAACAACAAACATGAGGAAGGGAGGGGCTGCTAAGGATGAACCATAACAAAATGAGACCATTCTGCAATGTTTACATCATTTATGTTTACACATGGAACAATGCCCATGTATATTTTTATGAGGGCAGATGCAGGTGGTCGTAACTTCAACTTTTTAAAAGCCTCAATCAGGTTTCTGTAGTTTCTTCGGTCTTCTTAGTAAATCTTATGTTCTTAAACTGAGTTCTTTCTTAACCACTCTATAGTGACGACATTAAACTGTTTTACGCGTTGAGTTGGCTTCACACATGTTCCCATGTGTCCACGCTAAAACTACCGTGTTGCTCCGCCGTCACTCGTTTATTTCACTTAGACAGCGTAACACATAACAATACACTTCACTTCCTGTCTCCTGATCACATAACTACGGAAGTCCTACAGAATCAGAACAAACCTACAAAATAAAATAGGAATAATCTCAGTAAATATTTTCAAGATAAACACAAACATATAATCAAACTTATTACTGCAAAATGCCGCTTACAGGTTTCTATGTCTTTTTACCTTTTCGGGATTCTGGCAAATGCATCACAGTGTTTCCACAGTGGTGCCATTGGGGCGGCCCGCCCCCCTTGAAGGTCAAGTTAAAAAAAAAAAAAAAAAAATATTTTTTTTTTTTTAGATTTGTTTTTGGGCTTTTTGTGCCTTTATTGTAGAGATAGGATAGTGGATAGAGTCAGAATTCAGGGAAAGAAGTCATTTAAGGATACCTTTCTGATAGAACAGGACAGCTGTCATTAAAAGTAACATGAACACCATTAAAGTGTTTGTGTCGGCGTCCGTCTGCCCCCCCCCCCAAAAAAAAAAGCTGTAAGCCTAGGTGAAACACTGCATTAGTATATTTGTGGATTTGTTCAAAAGTAAGGGACCTTACAAAATAATGGTTTCTCACCCAGTTAGCAATCATCCCACTGACACTGGACGCTGCGCAATCTTCCCAGTCTGAACATGAACTCTGTGTGAATATTTTCCCTTGAAAAGCAGCGTATAAACATCTGCACACCTTGACTTATCGCTGGCTTTTAGCATAAAGTCAGGAAGGTCAAAGGTGGACGCAGGGCTACATATTAAAAGTCTTTTCACAGATCCAGAATCTTCGAAGTTCACACGACTCATCATTCCAGCTGTTCACCAAAGCGTACATCTTTATTTCAGTGCAGTCTTCATCTCTGTTTGGAACACCATTTGGCTCCCTTGAGTTCCAGTAGCTGAAATTCCCAAGTAAAAAAATTATAAATATATTCTTCTCCTTTGGCCACTAACAAATTCTATTATTATAAATATTTCCAGAGAAAATGTTTTAATTACATATTTGATCAATTCATTCACATTCACAAAATGTAGTTTTTTGCTTTTAGGATCAGTAAAATTAGTTTTCAGCTCGAGATGTATCTTGAGATGTTATTGTGCATCAACGCAATGAATAAAGTAGAGTGCAAACCTTGTGTTCAGCGGAGTCCCATCCACCCATTTCCACGTCCCCTCTTTCTCTCTGTCAGACAGTCCGATCCACACGAGCTTCTGGAAACTTCTCGCAAAGTCCTTGTTGACAAAGAGGATCAGTCATTTACAAACCTGAAATATCAGCAGGTTCTAACGGTCCTCCATCTGCAATACTGATTTTATTTATGTCTCACACACACACACACACACACCTGTTCTTCTTTGCTGTTGATAATCATCAGGTCTGCACCTCTCTGTAAGCAGTCAGCTCTACTTTCTTGCCAGGGCTTCTCCAGAGAAGAAATGTAATAGAAACTTCCGTTGAAATGCACCCAACCTTTAAGGCCTTCTGTTGAAATAAGAAATTGTTGCAGAAAAATGCAAAGGTGGTCAACAAATTATGCAGAATAATTTTCGAATAACCGCAAAGCTGCACTCTATGCTATAACATGGTGTTTTTTAAGAGCTATTGTCTAAACTACTAAAGGAAAGTCATTTCAACTTCATCTATTGCCGACAGATTCCAAAGGATCGTGTGAAATCTGTTTCTGCACTCCGTAAATGATTGCGCCCTCTCTGGTCAATTGTCGAGTTTCCATTGCGCGTTCTGTGATCCATCTCTGGTGCATGCCAGAAGCAACGCTCTGCTCTGCTCTCCTCAATGTACGCACCGAGTCTATTTTCAACGGGGCTTGCTGCAGGCAAACAGGGAGTTGGTCAAGGGAACGCACAGAGCATCTAGTCAATTTCAAAATATAATCACTGTACGGACTCCTGATTGTATATCCCATCACCTAATCAACATTACGTCCAAACAGGTACCAAACAAACAACAAATCAAGGCAAAGTAACCTGTTCTTTTTGCACTTTGTCCCCATTATACCCACGTTATCTTGCGCTCCACTTAAAGTCAAGGTTGGTCATTTCCTCCAGATCCACTTTTTAAAATTTTGGTTGAAATTGTCTTTAGGTCCTGACAGAAATTAATAACTCATGTGCCATGAAAAAGGAACCAAGAAAATATATCATCTTGAGGGCGCGTGGCTTTAGAGGGAGCACAGAGGGGAGGGGGTGCAGACGGAGCACTGAGGGAATGCTACTTTCAAAATCATGCTAGTTTTGGAAAATTACCAACCCTGCCTTTAAGCTTCAGAAACGGACCCAGTGGGTTATAGCGCGCACCGTCAGGTGGAGCAAAACCATGACGGAGACGGAACACAAGGATGCTGTGGAATCCATTCAACTAAAAAACGTTTTAAAAGTTCATTTCTTCTCATAGTGAGGACGGACGTGACAAAAGTTTACTGTTTCACAAAGCTGCATCATCAAGCAAGAAAACAAGAAGAAAATCAATTTCTTTATCTTTATTTTTTTGGACTAAAGGAATGACAGTTTGTGTTGCAGACTGAATCTGTTTCCCGAGGCATATAACGTTATCAGGTGATGATGGACTGTTAGACGGAACAAAGAGGGGCGGGGAGTGTCTCTAACTTTGATTTACATAATCTGTTCACACAAAACAAAGAGTTTAGTTTAACATGAACTGAAAATAAATATTTACCAAGAAGCTTTTTCTGAACCTCCTCCAATCTGTTTTGTAGCATGTCTCGTTCTTGAGCCAAATTGTTGTAGCTGCTCTGTAACTGGTTCCTCTCTTTGTCCAGGTTGTTGTAACTGCTCTGTAACTGGTTCCTCTCTTTGTCCAGGTTGTTGTAACTGCTCTGTAACTGGTTCCTTTCCTTGCTCAGGTTGTTGTTACTGATGTTCAACATGATCATGTCTGATTTCCATTCAGAGTTGTGTTTGTTGTCTGTTCATGAGTGAACAAAAGACAAACAGACGCTGTAAACAACCATCACTCAGATGTATTAACCCTGCTTATAACGTACTCACATTGGATCATCAGAGTAATGAGTCCAGTCAGGAGGAAAACACACAGCAGACCCAGACACACCGCTGCAATTCTGGACAAACTCTTCTTGAAGTGTCCGGCACCTGAAGGTGAAAGGTAAAATTGTGAGGTGTTTGTTTCTCAGTGAAAAAGCTAATGAATTCACAAATTCCATCACATCATGAACACATCCCCCCCCCCCCCCCCTTGCATCCTCTCCTCTTTTCATCTTGAGATACATCATGTCAGTGCCTTCATTTCTTTGATAATGACCTCATGAACAATGACAGGCAAACTCATCTCTGTGTGCCACTAGACTAGATGACATGGTTGTGTGGGTTCATTACCTGTGAGTGAAGTTCCCGCTGTGCTCATCTCCAGAGTCTGAAATATTTCTTCATTCGCATAAATAATCTCCGAGCCGTTTAGTAAACCCGTCCTTTTGCAAGGCTGGCCTGGAGGTTCATCTACATTAGCATATATGTCTGATTCATCCATGATGTTCAGCTTGGTGGTTTGGTTTAAGCTTAGTCCTGATGTACCAATGTGTGTTTCTGTTAGTATAATGATCACTATAAGCTGTTGTGTTCATATATAAGTTGTCCCCTTTGTGAGACAGTCAGCAGCTCTGGAGCGTGCAAAACAGGAACCTGAGGGTTGGTGGTGAAAGTATTCTGGGTGACCACTTACTGCAGCTGCATGACGGTGGTTTTCATTTTCTTGTGGAGCTGAATCTGAAACTCAAACCGTGATCGGGCTGAGTAACTACATGAGAAAACAGACGGACAGACAGACAGGAGCTGTTTTCACACAGCACTCCAAAAACTTTGTAATAAAGACGCTGCGGAAATCCAAGACGGCTGGCAAGGTCAGAGTCTGACACTATAATCGTAGATTTTGCCTTGGGCAGAGTGGGCAAGATAATACTGGTGAGCAGAAAAAGCAGCGTCATCACTCACGTGATAAAACGGCCATCACCCCCAGGAGAATCTTCCTGCTGCGTTCACACATCAGCCCACCCTGACTTCAAACATACATTTTTCAAGGGGGCTGGCAGGAAAAGTTGGGTGAAAAACAAGGCTGTTTGCATTCCCAAACGCAGCTATAACCCAAGAACCCTCTTTAAACTCTGTTTAAGTTTAAAGCTGTTTACTTTATTATCTCTGTGTTATATGTATATATATCTATAGATATAGATATAGATATTGTGATATAGTAATGAATCAGAGTGTTAAGAAATGAAGAGAGTGAAAATGTGTTATGTGGTCAGTTGTGAGAAACCGGTTGAGTCCTCTGGAGATATTAAAGGGAACAGAAACTATTTTGACTTCTGTAAAGCTGCAGATCTGAATCTACAACAATGAACAAAGTAGGAGGTAAATTATGCTTTTAATATATCATAAATCATAGAGATAGAGAAAGCTCTTATACTTTATCATAAAACAGTTTATCACAAGTCACAATTTAATTTGACTGCCATCAATATAGCAGATATCAAATATATCCTAACTTAAAAGGTCACATATTCAAAATCCTCTTCACCATGTTCCTCTAACTCTAATATGTGCCCCTTCTGTCTACAAACCCCCCAATGATGAGAAAAGTCCATCCTCTCCGTCTTTTGCCTGCTCAAACAGGCCGTTTGGAGATTTTCCCTTCATGACATCACAAAGGGCAGTAGCCCCTCCCCCAGGTGGGTGACACTCCCACAGCTAGGTGTTTGTTCTGCCCTCTGAGTCTGCCTTCTCACCGTAAACAATAGGACATGAAGCAAGAAAGCCAGAGTACACCCAAGCCCTTCCAGAGAGGGGGTGTGGTCAGACACAGCTCATTTACATATTTAAAGCTACAGACACAGAAACAGCCTGTTCTGAGCAGGGAAATAGAGGGGTTTATAGGCATGATCAAATACAGGATCAGAGTGGATTTAGAACAAGAAACTTCACACACATGTTTTGAGGCGGAGGAGGATATGTGACCTTTAAACTATCTGGGAGTTATTCCTTTACAATAAAATGACAGAGTGAAGTCAAACTCCCTCTGGACTTGTTGTTCTCAGCTCTGTGTTCGTTCGGGACGCTGAGTGAGGCTTGAATATGATCTCAGGTGAAATGATTGAAGAAGGAACCAGCAGGGGCCCAAAGAGGATATCCTGTTTTTGTCTTCCTCTTTCATATGCTTTCAGACTAACGTCTAATGTATCAGGAGTAACTACAGTGGGGAGAGAGAGAGCGATAATTAAACTGGCTCATTAATGTTTGGTAAATTTGGGGGGAAATAATGTCTGAGGACCTGTGCGTTCAGCCCGGACTTTGTAAGACAGTCCACCGTTACGAGGATGACAAGGACAGCGTGGTGAACATCTACGTCAGTGCAGAGAGCCTGAAGGTGTTTGACAACCCGTGGGAGGGCAGGTCACCGAATATACCTGAACCTGCAGAGGCTCAGCACCCAGGTAGGGACCTGTCAGGCATGAGCAGTGAGCAGTGAGCATGTGTGCAAAAATAACAAAGTGACATACATTTAACATTTTACTCCACGATCTGCTGCATGGTAATCTGTTGACTCTTAAACGTTATTTTAAACTGAATAAAACACAGCTTAACTAAAGTATTTATTGTACCACCTTTTGTGGATTATCTATCCATTAAGCGTCTGTGAATCACCAAAGAAGGAGGAGTCGGGCAGATTCAGCGTTTCGGGTTGTTGTGTGTCTCCTCCTCCTGGCTGGGATCGCGGCCCTCATTTACCTCAGGGTCCAAAGTGAGTTTTGTTTTTGTAATGCAGCTGAGTGTTGTGCAAAGAAAAAAGTACAGAAATTAGATCCTCAGTTGTGTTATATTACGGTAACATGTTGTTGTTGCTGTTGTTGTTGTTTTCCTGTATCGGTTCAAAAGTGAAGAATGACAAAGCCAGCTGGAAAAGAGAGAGGAAGGAGCTAATGGAAGAGAAAGAGAACTACAAAGAAATGTGTGAGCAGTTGTTTGAGATGTTCTGCGGTAAGTGAAATAAAACATGTTGTGTCATATACACTCTACACCTGTCCGAGTCAGAGCAGAAAGCAGGAAGTGTGCGCAGGTGTGAATCACACTGTGAGAACAATTAGTCATGGTAACGTATAACTCATTGTCAGTTTAAAGGTACAGTCAGCAGCTTGTTCCTACAAAATAAAATACAGACTTATACAAAAGTAAAGCCGCTGACTCATAACTTCTGGGCCGCCGTACATGTGTGGCTGTGACTGTCTGCAGACACCTTGACCTCTAAATGTCCTCTGACTGGACTTTCATGATTTGGTTGACTCGGGACGTTTCTGTGCGGAGAGCTGGTGTGTTTCCTCCAGCCAATGACAGTAAGCTTAGGAGTGGATACAATAGAGAACAAACCATATGACGTATTTATGTAGACCAACCCGGAAGTAGCATCGCCCATGTTTGAAGCGTTAATGCAGCCGACAGAAGTAAAAAGCTAACGTTATGCTACAAGCTAACGACACCACGGTGGGATGATTGTGACGTCACTAGCGTTATGCTTCAGACGATCTCCGATAAACTAATCCACGTATCTTAATAAATAGTTTATTAACATAATATTCACCTTAACCTAAAGATTAAACCTACAGGAGACATCTCCGACTAGTGAGAGAGTTCCCGCCCTCTGTGTCCGGCGTGATGACCTTTAATGTCCCCGACAACCACTGTAGTCACATTTAGCCGCTTGTTAACAACCGCCTTTTTAAAGACGAGTAAAAACTTCAAACTTCACAAGTGGAGGTATTACCTAACGTAGTTTATGTGCTCTAACAAAACACCAACATCTCTTCAGCTTGTGTTAACCACAGACCTTATTTCAGGAGTCTAACCACAAACACATTCAAAATCCCCGTTGACTTTTAGACGTTAGACCCCATGGCGCTCAAATGCTAACTTACTTCCGAGTTTTAGGACTCAGTCCTGTGGCGCTCTATTCGGCAATTGGACGTGATTCAAAATTAGTTGGCTAATTTATTTACTGTTATAGGTCTTTAATTTTGGAATGGTAAATGGACTTGAGCTTGTATATATCTTTTCTAATCTTCTGACATCTCAATCATTATCTGTAAAGTGTCAATTCATAACAAGTGTTATCTTGAGACGCTTTACAAAAGAGTATATGGGGTAATGTGCAGGAAGGATTTCTTAGAGCGCTTTTCCACCGCAGGTCAAACTTACCCCCTGATGGCAGAGGCTGCAGTGTAAAGGGACCAGAAGTAACTCATTCACACACATTCACAGTGAAGCAATTCAAACGGACGTGGAAGACAGTGGCTTGTCCAGAGGGGTGGCCAGGCCCCTTCAAATCTGATTAGCCACCCCAGGTGCCGCCCCAATATCCAAATTTATGATTGGCTCTTTAGCTAATCAGAGGCGGGACTTAGGATGAAATCAACTATTCTGGCTGTCGTACTTTCAGTTTGCTCTTTCCACAAAAAAATCCAAGCAAAAATGTGTGCACACTGTCCGACTTGCAAAAGACTTACTCGCCGATAAATGTATTTTTGCACGTTAGACAGCGTGTAAGAGTTTGCATGCAGTTTTCAAAGTACTTAAAATCATGATGATGCACTTCTTTGTTTTTGAGTCCCTAAAGAATCAAGAAAATAAGATTTATATGTTGCCACATATCATTAGTCGGGGATAGAAAGGGTACAAAAGATAAATTAATTTTGCATGCTTGTGCCCACAAACTTCAGGCCGCCCCTGCATAAGTCCGTGCCCCAGGTGTCCAAAAAGCCTGGACACGCCCCCGCGTAGCAACAAAGAAGAGAAAATTAGGAAGACATAATAAATCAGTTAAAACACATACAGCTGGAAACAAAGTGGCAATCAAAATCCTAAACTCTGCAGGAGAGGGAAGAACTTCAATCTCTAGAGTTTGCTGGAGGGCGCAGATTGCACAAAATGCAGATTAATCCAGTTCAGTGAGAGCTCGAGGGACTTTAAGAACGAGCCACTCAGTAGAACGGGGTCATGTGGTGCCTGAATTCCACTCCAACAGATCGATTGAGTTTTTGCCTAAATACTGATGAAGATCAGGTGTCTTTATTCTCTGAAAATCTGGTTTAATGTTTTGGTTGGTCATTTTTATCAAGAGTGAAGAGTGTGGGATGTCGTGTTTTCTGAAGAAAGTAAATCAACCCTTAAATACTGTGATAATTCAGAAAACGAACAGAGTAATTATTGCTCTGTGTTGAAGCTGATGTAAATGTTTCTCCTCTGAAATGCAGGAAAGAATAACTTAACATGTGCAGAACTGGACGGATGTAAAAAACCCTGATAGAGGAGGCGTCCAGGACCGGGTTGATCCAACACCGCTGGAAAAAAAGTTGAACCCAGTGTCTCTTCTCACCTCATCGACCAATCAAAATCAAGAAGAGGATGGACTTCTGATATCAACTTTGTCAACAACAATCACCGAGGAGAAACTAATCTGACTCGTCTTTGTGTGTCTAGAGCTGCTGCTAAGGAGTCCTTTACTTTTAATTTTCTTTAATTGCTGAATTTCTTTGAATAAAAGCAAATATTAAGCATTAAGAGCAATTTAAAAAGTTCATACTGTCACTAGTGAGGGACGTGGAAGTGCAGCAAGCTATTTTTCACAATAGCAACAAAAGGCACCAGTTAGAAGTGCTCTGAAATTGACTCTGGACCAATCAGAGAGCCCCTTCTGATAGCGACTATTGCTGAGCTCCTTCAGGTTAGACAAACTTTCACCTTGGCCAAGTTCTTTTAGTGCGAGGAGGACGGACGTTTTCTCATCATTGTGGGGTTTGTAGACAGACTAGCGATACATATTAGTGTTAGAGAAACATGGTGAAGTGTATTTGACAGAATATGTGACCTTTAATTCACTTTAAATTTGGTTTAAAGTCCCCATGAAATGAAAAACAGGCATCCATATTCCAGATTTTAATCGATAATCTGCCAAATATATGTCAATAAAGCATCATCTGAGTATTTTTACATTTAAATAACTGTATTTTCTTTTCTTGTAAAACGTTCCAAATGTCTGATGATGCATCCTGCACTCAGGTGTGTTTACACAAGCGACCAATTGCTGGAGCCATTACTGGTGTTTTGTTTTGTTGGGCTGACCATTGGGTGGCACCGTGAGCCCAGGCAGGGCCAAAGTAAAACAACAACATGCAGAGGAAAAAGGAGGGGCTGGGGGGGGGGGGGGGAATATATGTAAAAAATATATGTAGGGAATAAAGTTGAAATATCTTTCAACATTAAATTTGAAATATCGGTTGGAATAGTCAAAAAGTTGAGAAAAAGGTAAAAAAAAAAAAATGTGTAGATTTAAAAAAAAAAAAAATGAGAGAACAAATGTTGCGATAAAAGTTATAATACAAAAGAAACAAATTAAAAAAGTTGACAAAAAATGTAAAATATTAAGTTTTTTTTTAATGTCTAAAAAAGAAGTTAAAATACAATTTTGGGTAATTTCAACTTTATTCTCCAAATTCTATTTCAATGTTTTCCTCAACATCATAATGAATAAAACAATTCCTGCTCTCGTGATTGTTCCCTGATCCTCTTCCGTGAAACATAAATGTTTCAGTCGTTTTTAAAACTCCTCCTGTCACGACATGCGAGACAAAATAGTACCACGGTGTTGCCGGCAGGTGTTACGCCGAGAAATGCACCCCTGCCAAGAATCGCATGCACCTCGCGGAAATGTTAGAAAAAGGTATAAATCTTATTTCCGGTGGCAGATCTGTGACTAAAAAGTATGAGAAGTTTATACTTATTAAAGATTAAGTGTCTTTATCGATCTGTAGACTTGGTAGAAGACGCATTTTCATTACCCTGTGTAAATATGACCTGCAAAAAGTGTTTGACTCCTAAGTGTCTTTAGAGTAAATTTAAAGGAGGGTGAAAAATAAAGGCAGAATTGCGTTTTGATGGTTGATGCAAAATAAGGGAGTGTGGAAATATTTCTGCATTCTCCTCGGCAGGGATGCAATTCTCGGCGTAACACCGGTGTGTGAGCGTACCGCGCATGGATACACTGTGATCCGCCTCGTGTGACGTCACATCCGTCTCTCCCAGAGGGACTTTTGTCTGCCGGCATTTTCTTTTTGTTTTGGCCGATTCCTCGGTGTCCACCCCTGAGACTAATCCTCTGAGTTTTGTTTGAGAGGCGTAAGGGATCCAGAAAGAAGTCGGATTTCTCCCCCCCCCCCACACGCTTCTCTGCTACACCATGCCCGGGTTTTCAGACCGAGATCGTGGCAGAGACAGAGGGTGAGTCCAGTACCAGCTCCGTCAGCGCTGTCATGGCGACGCTCTCTGGACCGTCACCGCCGCCTTGCCGTTTACGTGTTGTTGTTTAGTTGTTGTTTTAAGCTTCAATCGTCGTTTAAAGTTCCGTGTGAGAGCCGACACACGTCCCGTCGTTTCTGTGTTACGTAGTTTTCTCCGGTTTCCGTGCCGACAAAGAGGTTAAAATGGCAGCTGGCGGCAGGTTGCGTGTGCATGTGACGCAGTCTCACCTGAAGAGCTGTGTCGCAGAGGCCGTGTTTGTTTTTAATTAAAGACTCGTTTTACAGCTTTAACGTCAGCTCCAGGGGCTTTTACTGGACGTTCAACTTGTTGTGATTCATTGGCGTGTTTACAATCCGGTGCCTGCTTGTTGAAGTGGAGATGGGGTTAGAAACTTTCCCGACATGTAGTCTGGAGCTCTGAGCTGTTTGGGTGTGACGTGAACACGATGTGTGCGTTACGTATTCAGATGTAACGATTCACTCAACGATACTGGGTTCACGATTCTCTCACGATTCATTTCACAAAATGAGACAAATGATGACTGATAGAGATTCCTCTAGGGGGCTGCACACCTGCCTGTCTGTGGGGAGGTGATGTGAGCTTCTCCTTGTGGTGACTGCTGCATCACGTTGGTTGTTCTATTTGTGTAGTTCTGTCTTCTTGTAGGGGGGCGGCAGTAGCTCAAGTCTGTGGGGGATTTGGGCTGGTGTCCCGGCGCGGACCAAATCTGGAAGTTGGTCTGGTAGCTGGAGAGGCGCCAGATCACATCCTGAGCACTGCCGAGGTGCCCCTGAGCAAGGCGCCGAACCCCCTCCATCAGCCCAGGAGCGCCCGCCGTGGGCCGCTCCGTCACTCTGACATGTCTCCATTAGTGCATGTCCATAGGATCCTGTGTGTGCATGTGTGTGTGTTGCGTGACTTGGAGAGTAGAGATGAAAATTCAGCAAATAAGTTTTACTTTTTAATCTAGTGTGGGATCGTGTTTAATCTAGTCGTGTTTTCTGAAGAAAGTAAATCAACCCTTAAATACTGTGATGATTCAGAAAACGAACAGAGTAGTTACTGCTCTGTGTTGAAGCTGATGTAAATGTTTGTTTGTCTCGTCTGTTATCTTCTCACCTCTTTCATTTTCTGTCTCGGGGAAGCCAAAATGCTTCCACACCTCCGATTTAAAAGACGGTGGTGCGTCCTCTATTTCTAAATCTTGCTCTGCAGCTGCCGACCGCCTGATGCTGCTGCAAACGCTCTCGTCATTAAAAAATGATTTTCAAAGAAGTGACGCTCAGAAAGAAACACACAGGGGGACTAGAGCCCTTAAACACGCTGATCCAACCTTCACAACAGGGTCCTAAGACGCTGACTAGACTCTTCTCCTCTGTCGCCCCCCGGTGGTGGAATGAACTTCCAAACACCATTCGATTCAAGTCCCTCTGCACCTTTAGAAAAAGCTAAAGACCCAGCTCTTTCATGAATACCTACTAACTTAATGATGATGGTCTCCATATTATTGATGATGATGGTAATGACGATGGTTTTTGTTTGATAACGATGACTTATAAGATGGTTTCTATACTGATTAGAGCTCTCAAGAACTGCCCTCAATGTTGTGCTTTGCCTCTGGTCACTTCCTGTCAGCACCTGTGTGTCCAATCAGACTCAAAGCTGATCGTTTGCTCTTACTCACATTGTTCCCTTTTTTCTAGATCCTTGCTTGTGTTGTTCTTACTCTCTGATGTACGTCGCTTTGGATAAAAGCGTCTGCTAGTGAATTGTAGAATTTTAGAAACAGGTCTTAACAATATAAACAATAAGAATCACACGTCATTAAAAAAACAGCACCGCGAGCAAGAGTGTCTTTTGTCTTTCAAACCACATCAAGGGTCTCGAGGGTTGCTGATCATTAAAGTGGTACTTGGCAAGTTTTTCATGCGTGTCCTTCTCTTACATAAGGTACGGTGGAGGACCCCCTCGTTTTGGCGGCGGCGGCGGAGGAGGCAGTAGGGGCGGACCCCCCCCTGGAAAGTTTGGAAACCCTGGCGAGAGGTTGCGGAAAAAACACTGGAACCTTGATGAACTTCCAAAGTTTCAGAAGAACTTCTACCAGGAGCATCCCGATGGAGCTCGTAGATCACTTGTAAGACCCCCTTTTTCGCTGTTTCCCTTTACCAACGGCTAAAACACTCCGACCCCAACAATGAATAGATTGTTCTACATATTCATATGGTTTCTCAGTTTAACAGTAGTCTTTTGTTTATTTCCTCTTCCAATCACAGCAAGAGGTTGAACAGTACCGGAGAAGCAAAGAGGTGACTGTCAAAGGCAGAGATTGTCCCAAACCAATTATCAAATTCCATGAAGCTGAATTTCCAAGTGAGTAGAAATTGATGCTATCACATAAACAATCTAGAACAGTCATTTTCTTATCTGCTTACGCTGGTAAAACAACGTTCAACCAAACTCGCGTACCTTTCTGCCCCAGGCTACGTTATGGACGTCATCAACAAACAAAACTGGACTGATCCAACTCCCATTCAGTCTCAGGGCTGGCCCGTCGCCCTGAGTGGGAAAGACATGGTTGGCATCGCTCAAACGGGGTCTGGGAAAACCCTCGCAGTAAGTGAATTATTTCCATATTGTGTTTTTTTTTGTAAAGCCCTTATTGGTTTTATTTGTTCTTAACCTCTCTATTTAAAGAGTGGAATTGAATTTCATTTGAGATTAAATGTATCTACCAACCTGAATTAATGCTGACAGCTGTCTGCTGAGACTTTCTGCTCATGGTGTGGAAATTCAAGACTTTGAGGCGACTAGCGTGCATGAGCTCTCTGATATGTGCACTACTAATCAGAATGTGTATTTAAACCTCTTTCCTTTCATTTTTCTCTTTGTTTAGTATCTTTTGCCTGCTATTGTGCACATCCAACACCAGCCATTCTTGGAGCATGGAGATGGACCAATCGTGAGTACACAGAACATTGTTATAGTGTGTAAACCTGTTTGATTTATTTTGAAGAATATGAAATGACTTTTGAGCTTTCCCAGTATTAAACTAAGGGCTCAGATAATGCAGATTTCAATATGCTGTGCCTAACAATTTGTAAACAAAGGTTGCTACTGTGATACTTTTAGATGGAACGTGTTGTACAATAATAAAATCACTCAAAATCATCATCGCATTTGTGATAGATTGCATCGAAAAAGTACCAAAGCTTTGAGATAAACTACAGAACTTGAGCCACAAGTTTCTGAAAGTTTCCCCACCGGAGTGGTAGAAAACTTAAGTTGACTGAACTATCTAAAATAAAAGTCAAAGATGCAATATTCAAGTGAATCTGATTTTGTACATTGCATGCATCTTTCTTTAGTGCTTGGTGCTGGCACCGACCCGTGAGTTGGCTCAGCAGGTGCAACAGGTGGCTGCTGAGTACGGCAGGGTCTCCCGTCTCAAGAGCACCTGCATCTATGGGGGTGCACCCAAAGGACCTCAAATCAGGGACCTTGAGAGGGGTATGCCTACTGTGTTACTCTCACTAAATCAATTAATTCAATTCATCTGGCCCTTCTCTGCTGTGAGGCATTTGTTTTCATTTTTAATTATTATTATTGTAACTTCTTTTTTTTAGGAGTTGAGATTTGCATTGCGACCCCAGGTCGTCTCATTGACTACCTGGAGTGTGGTAAGACTAATTTGCGCCGTTGCACCTACCTGGTGCTGGATGAAGCAGACCGCATGCTGGACATGGGATTTGAACCTCAGATCCGCAAAATCGTGGATCAAATTCGGGTAAGTCGTGTTGTTTAATTCAACATGAAAGATAATTTATAGCTTTTGAGACATCGGAGCAGATTGTCTCAGTTAAATGTGGACAAGAGTTTAAAATATTCAATGGCTATAAACGCTCTGTTCTGGAGCTCCCCTTACATTTCATTGTCGCTAACCAACAACAATAACTCAGTTCAGTTTCTAAAAAAGTATGAAGGTGTTCTGAAGGTAGGAATTAAAAGCATATTGACCAAACAATCCGCTTCAAATACATTATCAGTCAAGCTCTTATTAATACCAGATATCCAGCTGCTGTGACCACATTTCAAAGTCCTCCTTTCTGCCTGTACACCAGCCAGACCGTCAGACCCTGATGTGGAGTGCCACCTGGCCTAAGGAAGTCCGGCAGCTGGCTGAGGACTTCCTGAAGGAATACGTCCAGATCAACATCGGCGCGCTGCAGCTCAGTGCCAACCACAACATCCTGCAGATTGTAGACGTCTGCAATGACATGGAGAAGGAAGACAAGTGAGTGGATGATTCCCTCTTAGAGAGTCTGTGAGCCGACTGATGCAGGAAAGTCTTTGTGTCGGACCTTTTTTAAAGGCTCGTTGTTCAAGAAACATTTCTGTCTGGATCGACACTAAAACGATGCATTACATTTATTTTTTGACTTTCACTATTTTATTTAAAGTCAACAGAATACAAAATGAGTAGGTTATGGTAGAAACAAAGTGTTGGCAAATCATTAACTTTCTATTCTCTTCTCTGTCAGACTGATCCGTTTGTTGGAGGAGATAATGAGCGAAAAGGAGAACAAGACCATTATTTTTGTGGAGACCAAAAGGCGTTGTGATGAGCTCACCAGGAGGATGAGAAGAGACGGGTAAGGTTCTCTTCTTTCTCGCAGCGCAATAGGGAATAGGCTTTGATAAACAATTTCATTTAAACTTACTTTACTTTCTTTTAAATCATTTGTTTTCTGTTTAATCTGTTTGTCACAGGTGGCCGGCAATGGGGATTCATGGAGACAAGAGCCAGCAGGAGAGGGACTGGGTCCTTAATGGTGAGACTATTGAATCACATTGAAAGTACGACATGAAGTAGATTAAAGCTGCCTTATAATTGACTCAAATTGTTTTCCTCTCTCTTCAGAGTTCAGGTATGGCAAAGCTCCAATCCTCATCGCGACAGATGTGGCCTCCCGTGGATTGGGTCAGTATGATTTCAAGTAGCATCACTTCCTTATCAGTGTTACACTTATTTTAAAGAAAGTGGTTTTGCTTTCTTTAACTTTTCTATGCATTTTCTGAGTTTTTCTCACCTTAAGGTGGAGTCTTTGTGGCAGGCGCTAGGCATGACAGTCCCAGGCCTCGAGAGGGAGAAGGATGACATATTGGAAGTGCTCTACTGGCTTGCCACCCAGTGGGCGTAGAGAGGTGAAAGCTCTTGTGTGCCAGTGATCTTCAAAAGGCTGTGTGGCTAAGCCTTTGTCTCTGATATGTTGTTGAAATACACACACATCTGTTCTCTGTCCATGGATTTCACCTGACAAACGCCATCCAGCTGTTTCCAACTCAAACGTAAAAAAAAGAGAGAAAAAAAAAGACATGCTTGATGTTGTGACTTTTGCCTTGCATGCTGTTTTGTTACAGAGCGCTGTATTGCAAGTCACTTGTTTGAGATTTGGAACAAATTTTTACCTTTGGGAGCTCTTATCACATAGCATGGGTGCTTGTGAGCCTGTCAAAGCTTTCAGTTGTTTTCTTTTCCCGTCAAAGTGCTGGATTCCTTGAAATGGAGAGAGCAGTTTGAAATCTTGTATTCGTCTCTGAAAATTGATGAGACCTGGCACATGTGTTTAGGGGGTAGTGGGAACACCTAGTGAGAGGAGAAAGAGAGTGAGACAGCTCAAACCAAAGTTCCTCCCTCGCCTGCGTTTTAAAGTCATGTCGAGACCTGCCAACGAGAGACATTTTCTCAAGTGAACACTGGCTTCTTGAAGGATCTTGCCTTGATGAGACTGATGAAGTGGGTTGTGGGAATTGTTCTGTGCTCGCTGAGGGGTCCCACAGGGATCAATGCTCGGGCCTTTTCTCATGTTTTTTTGAACCGGGCCCCTGCTCAAATTAGTACTTGGTCTATTTTGTCTTGGCAAGACGCGCAGTGCGGCCTTTTAATATCAAGCTTCTTTTGAGAGTGTACTGGGAAAAACGGACCTACAAAAAGTACCACACATTGGTCCTATATTGGCACATGAGGAGGCCCCAGTGCATTTCGTGGCCCAACTGCGTAGAAGCTCCTGGAAGTCACTTGACAATTTGTGAGGGATTTCGCTGCATTGGGAAAGGACTAGTGAATGCATACTCCTTTATGGTAAGCCTTAAATCCATTTTTTTTTCTCCCTTGGTTAACAAAAGGGAGAGTGAAGGTCTTTTGGATCATTTTGATTATGGTAAGCAATTGGAGTGTGCATCGTTTCTCTCTTCCCACAGTAGTATTCCCGTGGAGTAGATGTATTCACAATCTTATGCTGTCCTAACACGTTTTCCCTCCACAGCCTAACGACCTCTTCTCTTCCCCAGCCGTCACAGCTGCTAACTTTTACCTTTGATCTGGCTGTTGTGGTGTGCAAAATCCTGTGTGGCCTCCATGTTTTGTTTTGCCACACTGCAACACTTTCACAGATGTGGAGGATGTGAAATTTGTCATCAATTATGACTACCCTAACTCCTCCGAGGATTATATCCACCGCATTGGACGCACAGCCCGCAGTCAAAAAACGGGCACAGCCTACACCTTCTTCACCCCCAACAACATGAAACAAGCCAGCGACCTGATCTCTGTGCTCCGCGAGGCCAACCAGGCCATTAACCCCAAACTCATCCAGATGGCAGAGGACAGAGGAGGTAAAATCTGTACTTGTTTACATTAATTAACATATCGAGTATAAGGAAGATCAAAGTTAATTTAGACCTGTCATTGTATGGTCGTAATTGCCGTGTGCCGTTTTCCGTCAACCGTCTAAGCTAACCAGCGATCCACTTCGGCTAATGCTGCGAGCCTCTCTACCTACATCAGCCACGTTAGGAGTGAACAGACCAATCAGGAAGATTTTAGGAGCAGCTTTTACCCAGAATTTTCAGGAGTGCATTTGTGAAAACAACTGAAACTCATGTTACAATTTAAATGTGAGAAACCCAGACTTTTTTATTTTATTTGAATGGTGTCTCCTTTGTTTTTTTTCTTCTGTCTTCACGTCATCCAGGTCGTGGAAGGGGGGGAAGAGGAGGCTACAAGGATGATCGTCGGGATAGGTATTCTGGGGGTGGGAGGAGCAGCTTTGGTGGTGGTAGCTACAGGGATAGGGACGGTGATAGAGGGTTTGGCGGGGGGCCCAAGAGTGCCTTTGGCGGCAACAAGGCTCAAAACGGTGGCAGCTATGGGGGTAACAGCGGTAACTCTAGTGGTAGCTATGGCAACAACAATTATAATAACAGCAACGGACAGGGTAATTTTGGTGGTCCGCCAAACCAGGTGGGTGCCTTTGGTAACCAAAGCTTTCAGGGGCCCCCTCAGTTCGGGGCCATGCAGAGGGCCGCTCAGAATGGTATGAACCACCCTCCATTCCCGTTCAGCTCGCAGCCGCCACCACAGGCCCAACAGCCACCACCCCCTCCGCCAATGGTGCCCTACCCCATGCCGCCACCTTTCCAACAGTAGATCATATTCGCACAATAAATGGAACCAACATGATTTTTGTTCAGTCCTGAAATCTTACAGGATGATGATGATTATTCTTATTATCCTTTGTACTGTTTAACTTTGTTTTGCTTACAGCAGGGTTGGAATTATTCAATACACCCAGAGCATTATTTGACTATAGTGCAACTTTGATTGCGGCACTTTTCCTTGACTGTTTTTTTTTTTGTTACATTCCTCAGTAACTTATTTTTACTAGGTAATGCAGTGTTTTCAGTTTGTGGTATGTTTAAAGTGATATAATGAGGATCGTATAAAAAAGGGTACGTGTTGGCCCTTTTAAATAAAAATAAGAAAATGGGACTTCTGTGTTGTGTTTTCTGTTTGGTTTTTAGACATTTTGGTTACAAGAATCATCACAACGAGGCGAGTTAGTGCCTCCAAACTATGAATGCACACATACAGTATCATCAACCTGATAGAAAGCAGCTGGCTACAGCCTTCCCTTTGCAGCTCCTAAACATCAAACCAAACTAACCGAGACCAAGACCAGAGTGCTCCAAGACCAAGACCCTATATATCACTCAAAAATCCTCATCTTGTGTGCAACGGGTGTGTCCCTCACTTAGACAATAACATGGGAAAGTTGTGGCCGTAATCGGTGGATAAAAGTCAAATTACAAATGAATTGAAGTTGTTTGTTCTTTTAAAAAGAGGCGTTTTCCTTCTAATGATGGTGAATAGTGGTGGTCATGACCGGTGTTGATTTAATATGTGGAGTCCGCCCAGTCTGAGACCGAGACAAGATCAAGTAAAAATGCTTTCAATTCCAAGACGAGACCTTCAAAAAGTGGTCTTGAGACCAAGACTGAAATCGAGTCCTAAAATACTGAAGAATAGTTTTAAAAAAATGCTATTTATCCATAAACATAAACTACACATTGGCAGATCACCTGAGCACTAAAACATCCGACACTAAGAAAAGTCCTGATGATGTACAGACTCAGAGCACAGTCGAAAGAGCTGGCTCCCACAGGAGGCCACTCCCACTGTGACACCTTACAGGTAGAGACAGAGCCTCACATCACGTCCCAAATATCAGACTGTGAGAGTCGAATCCTTCCTCTAATAGCACACGTTAACCCTGAGTTTGAACACACAACACACAAAAACAATATAATAAAATCAATGAACTCCTAAAATAACAACATTGATTGAACTAAGTTAATTCTTCCCGCGGGGGGGCAGCACTGCACTTCTCAGTGAACAGCCTGCCGGAATTCAATTCGTAGAAGAAGTAGAATGACTTCCGGGTTATGCGCCACATGTGTTTCCTGTGAATTTCAAACTTGTTGTGAGACATGAGATACTTACAGATTTACTGCAAGGACAACTACATTTGATCTTTTATACTAACCTACACGCGCTAATACTTCCGGTGTTCCACATGAATCATCACTTGACCAGACCAATGCCTTTGTGAAACTTTAACTCTTCTTCGTTTACTGTTTGTGACAGTGTGTGACCCGTAGTGAGGTGTTGCACCCTGTATGAGTGTTCCTCGCTGCAATAGACGATCTTTGCAGGCTCTTCACCATGCTGACTCTCTGCGTCAGAAACGTCCTGTTCAGAAGTTTCCCGTCCCAGAGCAGCAGCGACGCTGTGCAGCTCACTGTGAGACCCTGCAGCTCATCCAGGGCTCAGGAGGAGGACCTGCACCAGACCAGGACTCTGCTGCGGCTCTGCGTGGACAGGTACTTCCTCTCACCTGGTGAAGCCAACATGGAGCTGTTCCGGCGCGGGATGAGCTGCAGGTACGGACCTCTGGGCACCGAGCTGAGGAGAAACCTGCTGGAGCAGTGGTGGCACTCTGTGAGCCGGACCACAGCTCAGGTGTTTGGGATAAACACCCTGAGTAGCAGCAGCGGGGACACAGCCACAGGTGCTCCAAGAAAACTGAACATTGTTGAGAATGAACATATCAAACAAATATTGGAAGAGAAAGAAGTGAGTAAGGATCTGCTCATCCAGAAGATACAGGTGCTCCTTCAGAGATCCCCGACTGGGAGGACAAGCTGCCTTCAAGGTAGGATGCTGCAGACGAGACTGCCAGATTTGAATGGTCTATACTTCCCCCAAATAACGGTGACAGCAACTGGGGACCCACTAACCCTGGAGGAGGTGAAAGAAACATTTCATGTTGCCCACTATGACCAAAACACATCATATTATTCTACTAACTTATTGTGAGAAACGCTAGAAGCAGAACACCCGTGATCTCTTGAACTACGTTTTTTGTATATTTGACAATAAGAGAAATGCTATTTTTGGAAGGAATCTCATGACCCCACTCTCAGTGTCCAACGACCCCCCCATGGGGTCCCGACGACCCCCACTTTGGGAACCACTGGTCTATAACATGGACAAGTACCAAAGCTTTGAAAAAAAACACAGATCTTGAGTCATATTTGAAAGCGAGTTGCAGAGAGAGGAGCGGTGGTCTTCTCTTGAGTCCTTTTGGTGTCTCATAAAAACACAAGCTGTTGGTTTATCTCTCTGACAGACAGGCACAGGAAGTGACACTTCCTTAATTGCACAAATACATTTGAAACCGTTGTCAGGGTATTTGTGCAATTTAGACGGTGCAGGAGTTTGATTGATCCAAAGGCAACTGGACTTGGTTGAAGACCTTGAAGACGTTTCACCTCTCCTCCCTCCAAAAGGCTTCTTGACCTGAAACTGTTTCCTACCTCACTCTCTGAATGTCTATCAGCATAATGTTTCCTACTTCTCCGTCTTTACTGCGCAACATGGGAAAACCCAGAAGGTGAACGTGTCGTCGGGTTTTGTTCTCAGGTGCCTTGGAGCAGTTTGTTCCTTCGTTGGAGCTGGTGAACAGGAAGCTGCCGTTTGGCCTGGCAGAGACTGGTCTATGTTTTCAGCCCTCAGGTGGCTCTGGTTGGTGAGGCTTCATCTCCTGCCTGTCTCTCTGTTTGTCTCATTTTTACAGATCTGAAGAAGTGCTGTTTTTTTATGAATTCATTCATTTTTTCTTTCAGCCCCGGTGAGGTCACTCGGGCGTCTCTGGTTTGGTTCTGCTCGGCTCGTGCCTCCTCTCAGTGGCTGGATCACTGGACGAGACAGAGGCTGAAATGGTGGAGGAAAGTGAGTGTGTGAGGAAGTGTCTCCTCTGAAAGATGTTCAAAGCTGAAGCAACTTCAAGAGTCGCCTTGTACACCTTGTTACCTTCTTAGGGTGTCAAAACCTTCGATGCTTCAATACTTTTCAAACCACTTGTTTCAAAACGACACAATTTGTTGAGATTACTCGAGAGTCTTTTCAAAAACCTTCAGATCTTCACTCGTGTTTTTAACCAAGTTGTCGAGACAGAGAGATCGTTGTCTGAATTACCCAAATACATTGCCAATGTTTGTGCAATTTGTTGGTAATTTAAAAACAAGAAATGATTTGTTACTGGGTGCCTTTCATTTATGATGCAGTTGTTTTGAAACACATCACTATCTTTTCTGCAATCATATCTAAGTTTAAAAGCCGTATAGATAATGGACTGATGGAGGTTGGAGGGGAGAAGAGATAATATCCTTTTTATTTTCTTGCTCCAATACAGTCTAAAAAGGTCCGAATATGTAATGACTTAACATCCATGACACATAAAAAATAAACATTTATGACTGCATGATACACTCCAACACTCATCCAACACTAAATTTCCCCCCCAGGTAGTCACTAATGTTTTTAAATTCAAGGTGTGAGTTTGTGAAGAGGGAGCTGTCACTTTAAATCATTTTTAAATCATGAGAACTTCAGCCACATGGAATCAATACCTCGTGTCTTTCCTCCAGTTCGCCCTGTCTCCGTCAGACTTCAGCAGTAGCGACGTGCCCGAGGAGGAGCTGGAGAAGGCGGCGTCCCGCGGGGTGAGGATCATCTACAGCTTCCCGTGGGGGGAGGAGACGCTGGAGACGCTGTGGAACCGAGGAGACGCTGAGCTGCTGCGGACACACGGAGGAGATCGCTCCAAGCTGCAGGTCAGCTGGCTGCTTTTTATTCAGCGCTGTCGCTGCCTCGTCGTCAGAGTAACCACCTGCAGTGTGTTCGTTTGTCTTCCAGTGTCGAGACGGCCGGAAGTCAGTCCCTCACGTCATCTCTGTGACCGCCAACGTGGACCGTGGAGCGCTGGCTTTTCTATCCAACTCACTCCAAACGCTCAAGAAAGAAGACAGCCGACAGAGGCTGCAGCAGAGGAAGGTGAAGACTAACTGGCTTTGTTTTTCTCTTCCAGCCTCACACTCGGGCTCCTCTCTTTGTGATGTTCTTCTCTGTTTTTTTGACTGAACTTTCTTTGGCTCTCTGGTGATTTTAGGTTCTGAAGCTGCATCCAGTGCTGGCTCCGGTCAAAGTGGCTTTAGATATTGGCAGAGGAGCGTCTGTGGAGCTGAGACAGGTAAGACAAAAGATGATGGATGCGCCTTAACCGTGGGTCAAGTGCTGAGTGCAAAGGTTCTCTCTAGCAGCCTCAGGACCCACCTTCAACTCCTTCATGTCAAATTGTGACCCAAATTTCAGATATTTTTCAACCAATCAGATTTAATTAAAGGCTTTAAATGTGATTTCTCACACTTTAATGTAGCAGAAATCAAGTATATCCTCTGAAAATAACTCTGAGTCCAGCTGTCTGTGATGTTTACCGAGCCGTATCTACAACGTGTTTACATCGCCAGGACGGCCGGCTGACTCCTCCCCTCGTGTATAAAAGTTGTTTAATTGAGGGACTAGAGAAAAGAAGAATAACATACTGTACTCACTGCTTAACTGTGTTTCTAGATCACGCTCATTTCAGGTACATTTACATGCAGTGTGAAGATACCAGCATAATAAAGATCACTAGCATTAGCATGCTAACACAACAATGCAGCGCGAGTTGTTTTGGTTTCATGCTGGTGCTCAAGGGCGACATCTGCTGGATCAAAAAATCACATATAAAGCCTTTAATGATGATTTGTGCAGTTTGGACCGCAGACGGTAGAAAACGTAACAGAAGGAAGGAAACGCTTCATAGATTTTTTGACACCATGTTTTTTTTCAGATACATATTAGACCCACTTTTGGGTCTCGACTTTGAATGTCACTTTGACACAGTAATTTTCAAACACATTAGAACCCCCCCCCTTCCCCCCGCCGTCACCGCACAGACTCAAAGTTTTCATTACTTAATTTAACCATTGCAATAACGAGCCTAAAGCCAACCGCCTGGTGACAATCAGAGAGGACCGCCATTCACCAGAAACACAAGTCAATCATCTGGATCGTGGTCGAGTGCAGCTCTCTTTTTCTTTACGATG